TAGATGTCCCATTTTACCATATTGGGATGTCCCAATTTAATTGTCTCATACCTTGTTTGGTAAAGTTTGTGTGGCTCAAAATCATTCTTACTTTATTCTTACTTTATTCTTACTTTATCTATTAATATCAACCACACAAACTTACTTTTCTTAAAACTCGTGTCATCCCCTTCCGGGACATTTAAAAGGGGACGGAGGGAGTATATTCTAGTAATATCGCAAAAGAAATCACCTTTAATTTTCTTTTAAATAATCAATTGAGAAGGCTTTCAATGATGCATTTCCTGTGTGGATAGAAATAATGAATGTTAACCAACCATTCCAGCTCACTGGGTGGAAGGTTACCGTGTCCTAGCGGAGGTCTCGGGTTCGAATCCCGCTAGACACATTTAGGGGAGAGGAGGGAGGTCTTGCTCCCAATGATTCTTCCTACTTTCACGGAGTTGCTCAGCGGCTGAGAAGGGAGAGGATGGTAATGAAAGTAGCAGGTTCGTGTGGTGGGAGGAGCAGCCTGAAAGGTGATGTAAGTCCTGCTGGATTCGTCCTTTGGAGCCAGTACTGACGAGGCTGACTGTGATCAGATCCGGACTTAACTGTCTAAGGGCTTTAGAGAGTAGTTCATAGAGTCCAGGATTATGAGAGCGTAAGCTCCGACAACTGGATTATCAAAAAAAAATAATGAATGTTTTGAAGGCGTAAGTTCATAACTCTTGCTTTTGTACTATTTTAGTGTAAGTTTTGTAGGATCAAGAAGTATATCATTTAGAAAGTAGATATTTTTGACCAAATCCACGACATATATGATTAATTTAATTGGATTGAAATTTTCTGACATGAATTGATTTGACTTGATTTGTAATGCGATAGATATCTATCTAATCTCTGTACATTTTATAAATTTAGATTTAATACAGTATGATCTGAGATACAAAACCGTCAAAATATAAACATTCATGTACCAAGTATGTGAATAGGTGAAGTAACAATACTCCGTATTAGATATGAAAGGTCCCAAACATTTAGAATCCCCAAAACGGTAGGGACTAGGAATGGCACTTCCCATATACTTCCTCCGTTTTTAAAAGTTGCAACATTAGGATATTTGCACTATTCACACACATTACTTTGACCACGATTTTCGATTAATATATAAAATCAAATTATTATGTATAAAATGTCATTAAATTTCTATTGATGTGAATTTTCAAAATATTAACTTTTTATAATTTTTACGAATGCGTAATTAAATATAATTAAAGTCAAAGTTGCGCGTTGGTAAACGTGAAAGTCAAAATGTTGCAACTATTAAAGAACGGAGAAAGAACTTTATTGCATTCCAAACGCGTATTACACTGGACATAGTCTCACACCCGCAATCCAGAGGTCTAAGTACCATCGTGGTCCCCGTTTGACTCGGGCAGCACGCTTTGTCGTCTACTTAACACAAAATATAACGTAAACCAAACAGACCACAATTTTTTAAAAAGAAAAGTCAAACCAAATTCTGACACATCCTAGCCGTCAAGCTCCGCAGTCGCAAGATAGTAACGGTGGACAAGCACAGCATACCAAAACAAACACGCGCCAGTTCGGGTACTGTAGCAACGAGGACGGGCCGGGTGGGCCCGGTTAGATAGCCAAAACGAGGCCCGGCACTGATTTACCGACCCGATTGGAGAGACTACTCTCCCAGACAGAGGGGCAGTGGGCGGGAGTGAGGGAGCTGGATCGGGCTCGGTTTCCGAGTCGGGTCACGGTAAGGGAGGTGTTGAAGTACTCCCGGACCTGGGTAATTATCCCATCCGTGACGGTCCAGGCGTGGACCCAGGTGATGTTGCGATCAGAATCGCAGCCCTCGACGAAGACGGTGGGGCCAATGGCATCAACGGTGAGCGGAACGAATCGGAACGAATCGGACGGAGCAGCAGCGCCGGTGAGGGTGCGCATCAAAAATTGGTGCGACGGCGGGCCGTGGAACCACCACTCGAGGTCGGCGGCCAGAAGCTTCTGGACCAGATCGACGTCACGTGAACTCAAGGCTTCATATAGGGCGAGCACCACCCTCTTGTTTCTGGATTCTTCCAGACTTTTCTCCTGAATGTTAGCCAGACCGGAAAAACGATGTATTGAAAGATAGAAATGAAATTAAATGCGAAGAAGAAGATATCCAAATCTCTGAGATAAAGGCAAGTAAAATGAGAATAGGTTTATATAGGGAATCCCGGGGAGATGGAAGGTTATTTTCGGCATTTTCCTAACGCGCAGACGAGGGGCATTTCGGGAAATTGAAATAGCGGACGCTGAGATTACATGGCAATGGGTGTTTGGTACTTTGGGTATGTGTGTGGGGCCCCTGTTGAAGTAGTCAAGCTTTATTGACCTGCAATAAAAGGATCACTATTCAAATAATTTATTATGGAGTACCATAAATGCATAGGGATTTTATTTGGCGATTAATGGAAAAATATAGTGTGATGTGAAATTGTGAATTGATCTTCAAAAAAGAGAATAAAACAAAAACATATGGGCTTTTTTAATGTGACGGCTGAATGTGTCGTTACTCTAAGTAATTAGAGTGGGATAGGGGTCGACCCATTCCAAACCCGGACCCAATAGATTTTGAGTTCCATTGATATGATTTAAAATTCCAATCCGAACCGGGTTCAGAAAGTACTTTCTCCGTCCCGTAAAATACTTCCCGATTTGACTTGAATCGAGATTTAAGAAAATGAGAATATAGTTGAAATGTATGATTGTAGTTAAGTAAGAAAAAGGTAAATGAATAATAGTCACACAAACATTTTCAAAAAGGGAAACGATAAGATTTTTTTGGAACAAACCAAAAAGGTAAGTAAAATGAATTTTTAGGGAGGAGAAGTAGTTAACTCGATTAAGTCTTGGATTTTTTCCAAACTCTAACCCGAAAGTGCAACTTGAACCACACCAATAGTGCAAGAAAAGTGGGAAACCAAAACGAATGAATAACAAAGAATTAGAACCTTTTATTTTGGAAACTTATAAAGTTAAACTATATTTTCATGAAATAAAATAATACTGCACAAAATTACATCTTTACTTACCTGCCATCTAAATCTTTCTCTCTTACAAACATTGAATGCTGTGGAATGAAAATCATGTTTAAAAGTTGAAAAATGAACCGCAAAAGTCTTAGCAACTTGAAATTGGACATTTCACGGTTGCTTCCTTTTTCTTGAAGTAATAGTGTAATACGTAGTACTAAAGTGTCTTTAGGTAAATTTTAGAGAAGGTAAGTAAATGTAGGTCATAGGTCATTAGTCATATGTCTTTTGTCTATTATTATGTCAATAAGACCGTAAGAGAGATGTATAGTGTATTTAGATTGTAATACTTCGTATTCAAATCTCTCCATTATAGATAGTTATTATGCACTTAGAATGTTTGTACTTGGACTGTAATTCGTCCCAGACCAGACCAGACCAGACCAGACCAGACCAGACCAGACCACACTAGTTCAGACCAGATCAGACCAGTTCAGTCCAGACCAGACCAGACTTGGATAGTTATAAAAATACAAAGAAATCAGACCAGACCAGACCAGTTCAGACCAGACAAGATCAGACCAGACCAGATCAGATTAGACCAGACCAGGCCAGCAAATTACAGTCCAAGTAAAAACATCCTTATGCATGCAAGTGTTCGGTTCCGAAACAAAAAAAAATGCTTGATTCCAATTTTCATTAGAATATGAGTGTCCTAACTCCTAAGCAATGACTTAGGTATGTTTGGGAGTTTTGAGGGAAGGGGATGTGAAGACTTTAGAGGTAGGTTGTTGGAGAGGAAAAGGAAGGGAGGTGAGAAAGTCTTTCTTTATATTTAGGATAATAAATTTGGAAAAAACAGTTTTTGAATGAATTATAATTAAAATCACTTTGAGATATTACGAATTCAAATAAGTAAATTGCTATTTATTTTTAATTATGCTTAAATAATCATTTCGTTAATTATCCTTCAAAACCCTCCAAATCGTGGGAACTCGACAATTAAGCATTTAGAGGGTGTTGGAGGTTTATGAAAGACCTCCAAAATCATCTCCTCCAATTTTATAACTCTCAAACATGAAAAGGATGGTCTAAACCTTCACCAACCATTCCCTCCTTCCAAAATCCAACTCCCAAACACAACCTTAGGAGCGATTCTTTTGTCTACTAAAAGTCAGTATTTAATGATTTTAGAAGCCTGTTTGGTGACCTTTTTTTGCTTATCAGGGTTATTAATTAGCCAGCTTTTTCACCAAACACGTAATTTTTTATTTCACGCTCTAAAGTTTGTATAAGCAGAAAAAGTAAGGTTGGAGTTACTTTTCTGACCAATCTGGCTGAAGTTACTGTAGAAGATCATTTTAGCTATTTTTCATATAATTTTTATTTAATTTATTAATAACAAATATTTTAAATATAATTTTTTCATGAATCAGCAAAATCAGCCAATACAACCAGTTCAGCCAGAACTTCATAAATTTCAGCAGAATCGGCCAATTCAACCAATTTTAGTATCACTAAACGGGCTCTAGAGATCTAATGTACATCTCCTGATTTTGTATGAAGACAGTTTTAGGGTGTGAGATTATTTCTAGAGAATAATAACACGTATCCTAAAACACCTCAATTAAAAATGATGTGTCTATTTACCCTCCCTTTTTAGAGATCTGGGTTTTAGTCCTTTGAACACATCAATGAAACTTCAATGAGTTCAATTGGGAAGACATTCAAATGAATTCTTGAAGATAACTACGCTTCTAACTGCGCAGTTATTTTTAAGAATTCATTTGAATGCCTTCCCGATTGAAGTTTTAGCTGAAATTTGGTATGAGTAAACTAAACTTAATGACTAAGATGCTGAAAAAATTTCATCAAAAAATTCCACCGGGAACCACCCCAAATGACGATGACTGGACAGAGCCTCCTAAATGAGGGCTTTGACCTTTTTTGTTAGTACATGAGTCTATTTGCACCTTTTCCCTTTTATTTTGCCACAAATGTGTAGTAAACTTTTTATGAGCCAAACAAACCCACTTTTTATCCCATCCACTATTACGGTATTACGCTATGTTTCTTCCTCCAGTGGATCAATGATTTCAAGGAACACCAATAACACGTTTTTCAGATTTCTTTATCATTTTATTCTCTTTCTCGCGTCTTTCTTTCTTGTCTCGCAATCACTCTAAACCAAACAAACATTAAACGTGATGGGATGTGCAGTTTGGAACTGAGTAAGCATCAGTCTGAATTAAAAATGAACATGACACATGTATAAATGTATAATATAATTATATAAAGTTATAAACCAATTCGACACTAAAAAAATTCGACCCACAATTCAATCTCACTCATCAATATACATCACGAATATTCCACTCCCAAGATTGTAATGTTAAAGAAAGATTCAAACCAGAACTAGGACCATAACACACCAGTAGAACAAATCATTGATGTAGGCATAGCCTACATTGGGAGTTCAAGTAAGGTCATCCTCCTCTAATTCTTTAGCTTTGATCGACTCCTTCACCCTAAGCAGAAGAGTGGTCCTCCAAGGGTCCTGTTCCATTATCATACAATTTCATATATTTTTGTCATCATTGAATGCTTTGTAAGAGACTGGTTAACGATAATCAGTGAGATTCAAAGTAACTTTCTCAGAACAACCACAGCATCTTATTATAAGTTTAACGATAGTGATGGCAATTAAAACCTCAAATATTAATCATTAGTATATATAAATACTACCATCATCGGGACAAGAAAGTATTAGCAAAACTTTAGTGAACGTGGTATTCACTACATGTCTGTGCAAGAGTTGGTTCTGAAGCATAGGTATAGGTAGCAGGGCATTTGCACTATGCACAGGGCCAATTGGTTCACTACAGCCCAGAATATTAATAAGCTTGAATCACGGAATTACACTTGGGATCTTCTCGATAATTCCATTCCTTGATAACTCACTAGAAACCTAAACTATAGACACTTTCCATACCAGATTCCGGAGGGCCTAAGGAACAGACTCACTCCCTCAGAAATAGACTTTGCCACCTATCCTCACGAGCACATTTCACCATGAGTTCATCTTCTATGGTTCTCTCATGGTTGAAAATTTAAAAATTAAACAGCTATGTTTAGAACGAATAAATATTTAATTTGTTTTGATCTACAACAATGTAAACTGTAGCCGTAAGAACTACCCATAATTGATATACCCTAATACCCTATGCAGCTTTTCCTAATTCTGAAAATGTAATTGCAAGTAGTACTGGTTCCATTGTATTACTTTCAAACTTTTTAATAAAATTTGGTTTCTTTTTGTCAAAAAAAATGTGTTGCATCTTTGATCTTAATTCATCAAATACTCAAATAAACTCCGTATATAAATGTTTTGAAGCGTCTCTTTCTATTAACTTCTTTGATGACTTATTTGATTGACATAATGAGTATTTAGTTTTATGTATTGGATTTCTTTATAATAAAAAATGTTATACAAATATACTCCATAGTATTTTAAGTCTCGCTCTTCTCATATTGTCCTCGGTCTATAAATATATGGACCGGGTATGATCTTCGTGCGCGTGTGTACGAAGCTTAGTTTTAAAATGCACGATGCGGCATGAGGCGATTTCATTGATTTACCCGAGGCGCAAGGCCGCAAGGCGCAAGGCATGAGGCCGTGAGGCGCGCGCCTCACGGAACTGAACAATATAACTTTGGTAAATTATGTTTAGGTGAAATTCACAAAAATAATCCTGACTTTTAGGGATTCTACAATAATAATTCATACTGAAAGTGTTCATAAAAATAATCCGAACTAGCAATCGTGTCCACAAGAACAAATTATGGTAAATTCAAACTAATGCCCTTTTAACACTCTCAACCCTACTCGCACTTCTCTCTTCCTCACTATTTTTTTGGGGTGAATTGAAACTAAAACCCGTTTAATCTCAACGTTATTTCCACCATATATGGATATCTTTAGGTTGGAAGATAGAAGTGTTACCCGAAATGAAAAGTGATGAAGGGAAAAGTGAAGGTAGGAGTTGAGAAGTATTAAACGGGCATGAGTTTGAACTCACCCCAATTTATTCATGTAGACACTATTGCTAGTTTGGATTATTTTTATGAACACTCTCGGTAAGGATTAATATTGTTGAAACTCTAAAAGTAGGAATTATTCTTGAGAATTTCGCCTTATATTTATACTTGAAGGCCTCTCCCCAAAAATGATAACTTATTAAAATACCTCAAGCCATTAAACAAGCTTAAATAACACCAAATCAATCATAAAAAAACAAAATATTTATTCAAACAGTAAAAACAAATATGTTAAATGCCTATTCATAATGTAATTAAAAAGCAAAGTAGCAAACTCACAAGCAAAGTAGTGTTAATATTTATAAACTGTCATAATAAACTCTTAATAATATTTTTTTAACAATTAACAGTTATTATTTTAATAAACTGTCCCTTCCAAAATAATAATATTTTCACATATAACTCTTACATATAAAACTATAAAATAAGACTACTATGTTTTTCTTCCGAAATAGAAGTTGTTACTGACATGTATGAAAAATACTGTCATGATTGAAAAATATGGTCATTAATTATAATAAATATTGTCATGTTAAATGCACTGTACTGCAACTATTTGACAATCACGCGTACAAGATGACAGTAAATACTGTCATGTAAGTCCTATTTTGGGGGGAAAAAACATAGTAGTCCTATTTTGCAATTCTTAACTTCATTTACTCCTACTTTGGGAAATCTCCCTAATTTAAAACAAATCAACGGTCAATAGTCTCAATACTAATTTCTAAACATTTAATAGTACTTTTCTAATAAACAGTTATGACAAATTATTAATCATAATAAACTGGCATACATAACTACAATGTACTCCCTCCGTCCCGAAATAAATGTCATGCTTTCCCAAAATGGATGTCTCAAAATAATTGTCTTACTTTGAAACTTTACTTATTTGGTAAACAAATCTATACAAAACGGTGTCAAACAGTGTCAAACAGTGCAAAACAGTGCCAAACAGTGTCGCTACAGTGCCAAACAGTGTCGCTACAGTGTGAAGTCAACTTCATTTTCTTAATCTGTGTGAAGGTCAAAGTAGGACAATTATTTCGAGACGGAGGAAGCAATAAACTATCATATAACACACGATTAACATTAATTTTATACTCCCTCCGTCCCTCTAATAATTTTGCCAAGTTTGACTGACACGGGGATTAATAAAGTAAAAACTGTGTGGTTGAGGTTTGTGCAGAGAAGAGAGAAATATCTGAAACCACAAATTCTTTACTTAAAAGGGAAAGTGACAAAGTTAATGGGACATCCAAAAAAGGAAAGTTGGCAAAGTTATAAGGGACGGAGAGAGTACTAAACTGTTAAAAGTAAAAACTTAAAAAATCTGATTGTAGAAACCCTATTTATTATTATTATTTAAAATTGGTAAACAATCTGATTTAGTTTACGGTTTAGGGCAGATTGCTAAATTGTTAACATTTAAATAATTGAAACTGTTTGATCAATTTAAAATTTTAAAATAAAAAGAGAAGAAAGAGTAAAGGAAACCAAAACGTACAGAGTAGTAACAAACCTGCGACTTCTTCAAAAAAAAACCTGAAACTCTACCATGCTAGGAGAGAGGAGCGCAACTGCGCAAGAATAAGGAAAGGCAATGGGAGAACCACCAAAGGTCTCTCAGGGATAAGTCGATACTCATCCCAGAGGCGCCAGAGGTGGCCGCCTCCCAGAAGCGCAGAAAGCGGCAAAGGCGACGGATAGGGCGCCCCTTTGGGTATCTACTGCGCCTGGGACTAAGAGATGCAATATACCGATCACCTAGCTGCGCCTTGCTCCTTTGCGTGCCTCACACGCGCTTTTTTAAACTAAGGTATGAAGCCTAATAGTGAAGATTTAACAAGTAAACTATTAATTTAACTCATTAGATCTTATTTCGACCTACAAGCTCACTTTTTCACCTCTAACACTTATCTAACGGTACTATTAATTCGTCAAAAACCAGAATTAAGCTCAGAAAAATTAATTTTTTTGATGATCTAATGGTTGAAGCTAATAGTTGATACTAATGAGTGAAACAAATTGGATCATAAACTTCACTTTAGGCCAAAAATGAAGTTGACCTGACATGAATGAATGGCTCTAGATATATCGATGTTTTTTAAATGCATCGACAGACATGTATTTGTGGTTCTAGATTAATTTTTGAATCAATGTTTGTTAAATCTTTGTCATTAGGCTTCATACATAATTCACAAATTTACATCAATAACACAACTCTTATTTTTTCTTAATTTGCGTGTCACTTCCCCATATCCCAAACAAAGGGGGAAATAGTTGATTTTATAAGCTCCGCTTTTGAACTGGACCCGAATCGCAAATACCGTAAATGCACCTAAAGTATTTAGGATCAGTTTGCGGGTCTCAAAAGTCAGCACCCGATACTTTTTTCAGGGTTCCAAATTAGGGCTCAAGCTGACACCCCGACCCTATCCACCCCTAGTCCAAGAACAATGATCTTAAATTCCAAACATCAAATAAGAAAAATCACATCCAAGAACAGAGTAAGATTGAAATGGTATATTCAGATTTACCAGCGGAGTCATGCTATCATATTCCTTGACAGCATCTGTGAACTTTACAACATCTTCCTCATCCAATGCAGCAGTCAGATCCTGCAGGTTTTTATTAATCACAACACATATTGCAGAAACACGTATTAGAGTAGTAGAGAACCAATCGCGTATTCGTGTCATCTTGAAATAGAGGTAGCCAATTTAAGTGACATGATAATCCAAAATTTGCAAATCGATGTCTCATAAAAACCTAGGGAAATGCAGTATTAAAGAGTTACACGGAATAGCACCAAAAAAGTTTCGAATTAAAATATGTCTAGCTATGAATAGTATTGGATCAATGTGGATTCTTTCATACTGCCAGTGATCACAATATCAATGAATATCTTTCTTAAGGAATCTTTTACCCAGGGAAATAAATAATGCATATCTGGTACCGAGTAAATGAAAGCCTACGGTTTACACGGTTGGAGGATAAATTGATAATGAATTCTTTTAGGAAATTATGCATTTCCTTTATTGGATAGGAGAATCCTTTGATCTCAAGGAAGCATGAAAATCACTCCACATTTACACTCCAAATATTATTTCTACATCTGCATATTTTCTGAGTATACAGAAGAAATCAACTCTTTCCATGAAGTAACAGTGTTAAACGAATTCTAGACATTTTTTCACAACTAATTTCCTGTCTCGGGATTATTGAGGTGATGACCACAAATTTTCTTTCATTTTCAATTCTCTTTTAACCACTAAACTGTAAACATCTCCAAACTAGAGCATTCTTAGCTTACTTTCCATGTTACAAAAATGCTAGGTAGAATAGAGAAGACTAACTGAATTCCATATACCTCTAATAGCTTATACTCCCGTGTTCCTGAGAATGTCGGATCCAATTCCTGCAAATGTCAAATCTATATATATTACCGAAACGGACCAACTCTTGGAAAATTTCCCAAAACATAAAGAGAAACACTTTTACCTGGTATCGCTCTAAAGCATTTTTGATTGCAACAACATCACACTTACATAGTTCACAAATACCAGCATTAAGAAGATGCTTTCTAACTCCGTATTTCAACAGGTTGTTATTAACAGAATCTTGGGCTATCTCCACATATGCATCAATTGCTTCTTTATAACTGAGAAAATACAAACAATTTAGTGTATAGATAAAAAAACTCAGTTATTACAAATATTAAACATAAATATGTGATATCGTACAAAGCTTTATATTTCTTTTTCCCTCAAGCAAGATATATGGATATGAGTACGCTTACTTTTCTAACTCGGCAGAAAATTGAGCAATTTTCTCTTTGCACTGATTTGCAGTTGTCTTTTGATCTTCGAAAAGATCAGCTGCTAGTGCATACCATTCAATGGCTTTAGCAATTTTTTTATCTTTCTCATATATCTCAGCAATTTCCTGCACGCACGATTTGCATGAATACTTGGATAAATATTAATCATACAAAATATCCCTAGGTTGACACAAGAATATTAGTAGATGCTATCCCAAGAAATAACTAATATAAGTCCACGATGTTTTGACAAAGATATAGGCTTCATAGTTGTAAAGCCTCAGGAAAAAGAACTAGGTTTCTCGTAGAGCTAACAAAGATGTATACCTTACAAATTCTTGCAGCCATATCCAGCCGTCCATTCACCTTAAATAAATCTACTGCTTTGCTTAGACAGTTTACAGCTTCTGCAACATAATCATTGTTGAGTGTTGGAAAATAAGAATCATAAACCAGATCTCTTGTAGGGGGGACTTGATTCATTAAATCAGGAAAAAAGAGTACAACACCATAAGTGAAAGCGAAACCTCAAACATGATAAGACATAGAATTATAGAAATGGTGACACTACCCTAATCGCTGACCGATACAATCACAGAAGACTCTACTAGTGACTCAACTTCTAACAGCAGCAACAGAGAAATCCAAATTACACCAACCACCCATAAGCCCCCGATTAGTGACCCAATCCATGTCACATTTGTCACTATCCGCTGTTGGCTTTTCACAGCCCCAATTTGACCAGCTCTCGGGTTATCTTTAGAAATAGTTTCACGAGCTATCGCAAAAATAACCCCCGCGTCCACTACCAACCCCGCTCCACCCACTCCCCAGTAATCTCACCAACACTATCGAGGACACAGAGAGGAGGTAGCTGCTGAGCTGCAGCCCGCACCCTGTTCATTACTATGCCACTATCCAGATCCATCTTTCGACTCTCTGAGTAAACTCCTTGCTACTCTTCTACCATCCTACACTTCACCTCCAACTGGGCCTCTACCACCGCAATCTGAAGCAGCGGCGCAGCACCCTCCGTACACAACCTAACTTAAAGCACAAAACATAATAAGAAATAATAGGTATAAGGAGCAGCCTCTGGAGAGGCTGAGAATCCAAGCGAAAACTAACGAGACACATAAGTAAAAGAATAACATCTATCCACCAGCCACCATGCCAGACCCAACCAATGTGAACTTAAAAACTTGAATACTAAGAGGGATCTATTTGAAAATTGAAAGACGTCGCAACCAACTAAATTCCAGAATTTCCATGTTCACAATAAAGAGGTAAGATGTCTCTTTATGATACAATATGGATTTATATAAGTGTAAAGAAGGAAGCATGGAAAAGGAAAAACTTGCAAGTGTGGATATAATTTCTAAGTACATATATGAACATACCCTCAGGATTAGTTTTCTTATAGTTTTTACCAGCACTAGCATATGCATTAGCAGCTTCGTGAATACTATCTAGCTGCAAAATCAAATCAAACAAGGATGTATAATGAGTTAATGAGAAAATGAAAGGAAATACACACATTCAGATTGACCATACAAATACCTTCGCATAAATCTCGGCCATTTTGACATATGTTTCCCCGGCTTTATCCCCTAAAACAATAAGCACCAAGTAAGCTACTAGATGCAAATCTGCCTAGTTATATGCCTTAGATATTTGGTTCAGTGTTTGAAGAGAAATGCAGAGTGTTGACTCTTATGTTAAGGATACCAAGTATTGGTTAACAGTTGCAAGGGTTACCCATTTTGATAACACCTAGATCATCACCATCATCATCATTATCAACGATAACACTATAAAAAATAATGCATAAATACTTGGCAGACAGTACAAATCTTTATGGTTGACATCAGACGCCAACTCAGTAAGGGTGTTTTTGGATCAAGGAAAATGATAGGGAATGGGAAAATGAAGTTAAATTCTTATGTTTGGCTTCACCATGGAAAATGCAGATGTGATTGAAATATGGTATTTCAAACAATCTAGATAGATTTTCTTTCTTAGTGTTTATATATTAGAAATACAACAACAACAAGTACAATAACATCCAAGTCTTGGACCCAAAAGATGTTTATATATGAGCATGAGTTTATCTTCGATATTCCCCCAACTCTCCTTCTCCCTTCTTTTTCCTTCCCTGGTATCTTATAACTCCCAAACAGACCCTAAGTGAGTAATAGAATATCGACAAAGTCAACAACATGCTAAAACACCATAGAGAACAAATTACTTTCTTCAAAGCTGCCCACTAATTTGTTTCATTAAGCAAACAGTGCCTTACCGATCAGACCATTAAAGATTACTGGTTACTCCACCCCAGTGCCGCAAAGGCTCCCACCTATAGTGGGGTAGGGGGGGTCGGATGTACGCAGTCTTACCCCTGTACTAAAGTACAGAGAGACTGTTTCCGGATGACCCATAGTGAAAATCGTGTCAAAAATTGCATGGACTGACTGTTGCTTCATAACAAAGAAGCGCAGACAGTTTAGTGAGCTCATTTGCTTTATTCCATCATATTCCCAGGCCAAAAAATAATGAGTTTTTGGCTCCATTGCAAATGATGGAATTTACATACATGTACAACTATTTAGATGTAATTATATAAAAATTATAAAAAATTGATATTCATCAATTAATTAAAAATATTAAATAAAATCTAGAATAAAATGATAATGCAAGTCCATGAAACTAAAAAGTACATATTGTCATAAGTTTCTTTGTATACAACATTTGCCACATACTTGATAGATGATCCATATTTATCATAAATCACAAACTTCAGATAAACTTATTATTCCGGAGATCATGTTACGGGTAATAGAAGAAGATCCCAACTTTACCAACGACTTCTCGTGAGTCATATCAAGGGTCAATACATAATTAACCATTAATGAAAACTGTTTGTGATGATATATAATGGAGTTCTAACATCTGATGGTGTTAAATTAAATTTAGGCATGTTAGGTACCTAGCTAATTTCAGAGTAATTCAAGAAAGTAGAGATGAAGAAGAGAAGATGTGCGTAACAATGGCAGCAGTCATATAACAGAAAAGAGAGAGAGAAATTAAAGGCAGTTTAAAGAGTGCCAACTCTCCAAGTCCCAGCACAACACAATAATACCAGCCTCCTCTCTATTCTACCCTCCACCTCTATTTATACTAACTATTCTAATATTATTATTACTCTCATTTATTATTATTCTATGTAGGTCCCTAACATTACTCCCCCCTTGACAACCACCTTGTCCTCAATGTGGGTGATAGGAGACAGTCCTGATGAACAACTTCTTCTTCCTCTTTACGCCTCTTCCTTCCCAATATCTTCCGAATTTCAGGACCCTGAACTTCATGAACTGACCCATTGCCATCACTTTTACCATAGCAAGCAGCTGAGGCCAGGGCATGGTTACATGATGCTTCACTAAAACCTGGCCAGCACCAAGAGCTACAACCCCTACAGAGCCATGCTCATGGATCAGATTATCTATAATTGCAGGAAGAACTGGTGATGCTTTTTATGAGAACAGTTTTGTATGCTATCCGACACAACCTCCAATATAATATAGATTCTTCCTGAATGCTATCCGACACAACCTCCAATATCATATAGATTCTTCCTGAATGCTATCCGACACAACCTCCAATATAATATAGATTCTTCCTGAATGAGTAGCAACTACAATCATACCCCTCCCACCATTTCTGAAAACTGATATAGGGGCCCTGTGGATCTGCTCTATATCTTTAATATCTCAAGCCTCAGTATCTCTAGCCTCAAAATATTTTTCAAGGAGAAAATTGTTCCTCTTGTTTGCTTCCAACAATTCAGCCTGAAGCATAGTATTTTTCTTTAGATCTTCCCACCACCAAAACAGAGGAACAATTTCCTGATGCACGTGTAAACAATTTTCCAAAGAGCCAATTGGAGAAGGATTCCTGAAACCTCTTTGCTTCCTTGACTGGGCATGCATCCAACATTATTACTTATTAGCCCAAGTGAGGAATAAGAAGCCATAGCTATTTTTCCCAGCAAGTATATGTTAAGTGCGTGAGTTAGAGACCTCGTCCAAGGACGTGAACGGGATTGACCACAGGTAAGGGATGATGTTCCGGGAGCTATTTTTAATTGACGAGGAATAGATGAACTGAAAATAGGGGCTTAATAGATAATTATCGATCTCCGATCTAGTCAAGAGATCTCAAGATTAATTAACCAAAAAGGTGTTTATTAAAGTAGCTGGGATCCCCTTAAATAGATAAAGGGTTTCCTAAAACAAATAGGAAACTAAGTTGCAAAAGGGTTTCCTAAAACAAATAGGAAACTAAGTTGCTATTCTAATACAACTTAAATAAAGGAATACTAATTAAAGTAGGACTAATTAAATACTAATACTAATATGACTCTAACTGCCTTCTTATTTCTTTTCTCTTAGCCACGTTGGTCATTAATCTTCTCTACCCCACACTGCTTTCTGCGTTCATATGTACGGCCATAATATTGGTCCGTAACATCACTCCCCCCTTGGACAAAGAGCTTGTCCTCAAGCTTGAAAGCAGGATATCTCTTTTGGAAGGAATATAGTGGTTCCCATGTGGCCTCATCTACTTGCTGCCCCTGCCACTGAACTAAAAGCTCCCAGCTGCCATTCAAGAAGCGGCTGCGAAGAATTGCCTGGGGAGTTGTGGTTCCCAGAGTGTAAGGTTCGGGAGGAAGACTGCCCATTGCTTCTGGAGGAGGTCCTTGGTGTAGCCTGAGAAGGGAGACATGGAAAACGCTATGAATACGAGCAGTTGCTGGCAATTGGAGCTTGTAAGCAGTTTGGCCAATGCGCTCAAGAACCTGAAATGGACCAAAATATTTTTGCATCAGTTCGGAATTCCCACTGTTAGCTGGCGATATGGTTTCAAACGGAGCCAGACCCAAGCACCTGGTTCAAACGAGAGCTCACGGTGGCCTTTGTCAAACTGACTTTTCATCCGCTGTTGTGCATGAGCTAATCTGTCACGAGCACGTTTGAGAAGATCGTCACGATCAATGAGCTCTCGATCCACCCCATCCACCTTGGCTGTCCCAGGCATATAGGAGAGCATACGGGGTGGTTCCCTGCCATAAACCATGCGAAATGGTGTGTCGTCCAGAGATGAATGGTAGGACGTATTGTAACAATACTCAATCCAAGGAAGCCAGCGAACCCATTCCTTGGGATAATCGCTCGTGATACAACGTAAAAACAACCCGACAGTTCGGTTAACGACTTCCGTTTGACCATCGGTTTGCGGGTGGAAAGCGGAGGAGTAAACGAGTTTGGTACCAGATAGGCGGAATAACTCGCGCCAAAAAGTGCTCAAAAAGATTTTGTCACGATCAGAGACAATGGATTCCGTTAGCCCATGAAGACGAAATATTTCAGCAAAGAATATGCCGGCTACGGAAACTGCCGTATATGGGTGAGCTAAAGGAATAAAATGGGCAGCTTTAGAGAGTCTGTCAACGACAACCAGGATGACAGATTTGTTTCGAACCTTGGGTAAGCCTTCAACAAAATCCATTGATATATCTGCCCAAATGTGATGCGGAATGGGAAGAGGTTGCAATAAGCCAGCTGGTTGCAATGTTAACCACTTGTGCTTCTGACATGTCTGGTAGTCCCGAACAAAGTTGGCCACCGTAGTTTTCATGCCAGTCCAATAAAACTCCCGTCGTAGTCGTTGAAGAGTTTTTTCAACACCTTCATGAGCCATGTTATGAAATACCGAGAGCAAAGTCTGAACCACTTCAAATGTATCTAACAGATAGAGTTTGAAGCGGCAATAAATTAAGCCATCTCGTATTTCCCAATCTGGCCCGCACTTTCCCTCCTGGATTTCCTGACGGATACTATTCATAATCGGGGAAACCGCTTGTTAGACCGGATTTCACTGAGGAGAGTATTGAAAGGAACTGTGAGTGCTGCGAGGTTCAAAACCTCTTCATGTTGTCGAGACAAAGCATCCGCGACAGTGTTGAAGCGTGCCGGTTTGTATTCTACTCGGAAGTTAAAGCCCGTCAATTTACTGAGCCAATGTTGGTGCGAGGACGTAGTTAGTCATTGATCCAGTAAATGTTTCAAGCTGGAATGATCGGTTCGAATAAGAAATTCAGATCCCCATAAATAGGGTCGCCAATGTGTGACTGCTTTGGCTAACCCTATCAGTTCCCGTTCATAAGCTGCGAGCTTAACATGACGTGCGTTAATCTTGCGACTAAAATATGCGATGGGATGGCCTTCCTGTTGTAATACTGCCCCAAAACCAGATCCTGATGCATCACATTCAACAATAAATTCTTTGTCGAAATTAGGTAATTGGAGAAGTGGGGCTGATGAAAGGCGCAGTTTGAGCTCGTGGAACGCTTCTTCGGCTGCATCTGTCCAGGAAAAGGCACTCTTCTTCAGCAATTGTGTGAGTGGACCAGCAATCTCACCATAATGGTTAATAAATTTGCGGTAATAACCTGTCAGGCCCAAAAAACCGCGTAAAGCGGTAACTGATCGGGGTGTTGGCCACTCCGTGATGGCCTGGATTTTGGCTGGATCAGCCTCAACGCCTTGGC